CGTTCTTTACAGACATACAATATATATAAACAAAATACAAGGATGTCGGGAAAAGAACATCAACGCAATGTACTGTAATCTGCTGTATTTGCTTGCAATAGGAATGACTGTTGCCAAGGATCAGACAAAGAGGGGAAGGGAAGGGGGTAGGGGGAGTTGCCAGTTGCCACAGCCAGGCAAATGCTCCTACCAATCCATCTACAGTACGTAGCGAGGGAGTTATTTCTCATCAACGAAAATACATGGCAAAAGATACGGGGGGATGTGTGTGAGTACCTGTAGCAAACTGCTATTAGAGTAAAAAATAAGAACACGCCTCCAACTCCGCCTACTAGCAAGAGGACCATAGCCACTCTCCCAAGGCCTTGGGAATGATCGTTTTTGGTCGCTGTCGGGGATGTACAAGAAGCGGGTTAAAAAGATAAGGCAGGCTCGAAGGGGTTTTCTCAATGCTCTTGGTACACACTTACGCTCTCACAAGAAAAAAAAAGAAAAAAAGAGATCCACACAGCAACGTCTTGTTGGCTTTTTTATATTTTTTTCAAACTGATACTCTAAGAAGGTTCTAAGGGATATTAGTCATTAAAAACCTTAAAAGTTTTCACCTCTTAGAAACAAAGCCATGAATTAAATCTCTGTGGTGTATATGGATGACCATTTGAAATTGACTGTGAAAATTCCTTATCATGGGAATAGCCAGTCACTACATTTTTGTGCAAATATTTATGATCAATTATCAGAAAACGTACAGAATATTTAATGCACTTTTAAAAAAATGCTCTTTTCATTGTTAATGAAACATGAGTTGCGTAAAACCAATTAAATAAGAACAAATTCCAAAAGGCTTGGGCATATAACCACAATGGAGTTAGTGTCAAGTTTTAATTCATAACTGAATAAGTTTTCAAGAGCAAGTTAGTCACATCTGTACTGAAATGGAAAGTTTCATTCACAATCTGTGAAAGTCTGAGAGAATCAAACTCTTTAAGATTCTTAAATACAAGAGTTCACAGTGACATCATATCCACGTCATAAATACTCTGGCAATATGAATACCATCCTCTGCTTTGTGAAATCCAAAAAAAACTATAGGGATGAAAATCTGATAAAAAGTTAAAATGATGAACTTCGGACATCAATTAATCATTGTGTACTGTTCGAGGATGAGAGAACAAATGTTCAAGATCCATAACAAGAGAACCCCTTTTCAGTTCTGAAAAATGAGCTGAAGTGATACATGAATAGAATATATACAAGAGAGTCTACAAAAGCCTCCCATAACCGAAAAAAGAAACCCCAGAGGTTCTAAAAACAAAAAAGCCCGATAATAAAATGAACACTCAATATCTTGGTCTCTTAAACCCACCAAGAAGATGAGTCAAATCTTCATATAAAACCCTGGACCAAAGATAAAACAAACAAACAATATATATACCATAAACTCTGTACACAAATTTATATATGTATAAGCTCAATCAAAACTAATAAGTCAACATTACCAATATAAAAGTGTTGTTGTTCAGCAACTGCCGAACGTTCAAGCTCACCATATTGAATGTTTCTTCCTTGCACAATGTTCCAGGTGTTTGTCGGGGCTGCCGCGGTGGTCTTGCCCATGGGGTTTGGGTAAGGACTGCCGGGTTCGGGTGGGTAGGGGGTGGTGTAGACAGAGCTGTTGTCGAAAATGGAGCAGTCTGTCCCTGTCCAGCCCCGGTTGCAGTAACAGGAATTCATATTGGAGCACACCTGTTAATGTTGTTTTCGGTCAGCTGGTGAACCCTGTTTTGGCAGTGACTTAACCAATGGCTGGGCTCTTCATCCCTGAACTATTTTTACCATGTGGAAGGCAGTCTCGCTGTGTGATAAGGCTAATCATTTGCTAATAATTTCCCCAGTCGACTACATCTTTGTCCTCTTTGTCATTTTTTAATCGTACTAGGATGTGTTACTCTGTCAGTTGTTTGTTCTGCTAATATTGGTGAATTTTGAATTTCTGCGAGTCTGTAATGTATCTATATACATTTCAAATTGTTATACTCAACTATTTGTTATTGCAAAAAAATACGGCAATTAAGTACATTCCTTCAAGTTAACAACTGTGTCTTTATTACACAGTGAAAGGTAGCTTACTTAAAAATGCTCATCAGCCATCTTGAACCACGCTTAGACGCCTCCGTACAAACGTCATATGCAAAAATGACTTCCATGAAACGTGACCCACGACATCACCTACATGACCTAATTTCCTTTAAAATGACTACTGAGTGCATAGTTCTAATAGATCAGGGACTGAGCTATGACCTTGGAGTGTCAACGGAACTAAATAAGGGAAACATGACATCACTGCCTGTTGTGTAATTCAGGGATGCTTGTCTCTCCAATATTGATTCCTTTTAAGCCATCTGCACTAAGTATTGGGTGCGTTCTCGACAGATATAGAACCTCTAAGGAAAGCATGCATGTTTCTTTAAATATATATATATTTCAACCTCAATTTGGC